TATCCAACTGACATCAGTCTAGCTTATTTATAAGTATAAATGTCCCAGGTTCAGGGACACTACTAGGGTTTCCACATGAGCCAATCAGAATGAGGTCTTCCTAGCAGATGTCATGTAGGCAGGTCGTAAGTTGATCGTAAGCATCTTTTGTTAAGTAAATCAAACACACTTCTATGTGCTGGGTTTGAGGTAGTATGACAAAAATATATAATAGACGATGCTGACAATCTTTATACATTTAGTTGAATGGGTTTTGACTGTTACTTTTTAAGTAAAGTATCTGAATTTTGGCAAATCTGCATATTCACAATGTGTAAGCACTGATGTCGACACGAGCTGTTCATACTATTAACTGCCTGTCTTTCTTCTTAAAAGCGCCAAATGCAAGGTTTCATGCTCACTACATATATATCTTGAGTAGTTCTCTTTCAAAGTTGTTCAATTTGTGACGATACCTTTAATTCTCTAATTTACATAAAATGTTTTGTCATTTTGACTGGTTAATAAGTCACCTTGAAGTGTAGTTTACAAGTTTACACCATTTATCCAGCAGTTGATATTCATGTTGTATGGAATAATGGTATTCGAAATAAAGTCAATGTCCAATAGCCAGCCAATTTTGGAACATTCCAGTACGGATGTGCATAGGTGAGCGGCGCTTAATTAATGATAGTATGTATGCGTCAAGACTCGTTAGGTGCCTTGGCACTAGACATATCTGTAATAGTTAATCAACTACAGTATCTTATTTTGATTATTATTATGTGTTACAATAAAACACATAATTTGATTACAGTCTAAGCTGATATGTGTCATGCGAGTGCAAATAAGTACTTTTTATTTATTTTCTTCTATTTTCCAGGATCTACATCAATTGCCACATTGCAGTGATTGCAATTGAAAAAGAAAAAGATATGTTCATAAACATAATGACAGTATACAATTTAATATACAAGTGTTTTTTTCATTATTGATACATTTATATAATTTATCAAACATGTTTATCATGCTCATTTGACACAATATCAATAAAAGTTTCAGTGGTATTTCTTTGATGCCATGTTTATGTTTTGCTACTATGATAGTTGTATGTCAATTGTCATTGAACTATGTCCGTTTCTGATTTCATCGGGTGAACTTGTTATTATTTTGTAAATACAAATTTCACATTGCTCTAATTGAAAAATAAAACCATGGACGCTTAATCATGGATATGCATACTTATGTAATAACTATATTGTTTAGGGCAATACATTGAAGAAAAGTCCGAGCCTTAAATAAAGTAGCTAAAATACACTTGTTCAATCCCGGCTCTTGCCTGTAACAGGCAAGGGAGTGTAATTTTCGGATGTGTCCAGTTTATAAAACTTCATGGATTTATTTTATGCAATTAAGGTGTGATGTCCTGGACAGGTTATTTGATACAAACCCAAAGATAAAGACCATGATATTGCCTGGAATGTGATTAACCCAAGGTGGCGTTCTGGGTTTCAAATTCAAGTTTCAAAAACCTT